TTATTGTCAATGCATTCGGAACAGCGTCTCTGCGATAAAACATTTTTTTTTTTTTCTTTTTTTTGAGTTTCATTTTTCTTCTGCTGCTTTAATTTTTTTGCCATTCGGTTGCAGAAAAATAGGAGGATGGTTTTAATTCGGTGATCTACTTGACAACTACTGTTGCATTATGTTAAAACATTTGCGTTTGCGTTGAGTGTAGGTGTGTCACTTGGTCATATCAATTAGTCAATAGCCTTTACGTTCATTTTTTTTGTTAAAATTAATCAATTTTCTTAATCGAATAAAAATTCTGTTCTCAATCCAGTTGAGATAACGAAGGTAAGTGATAAGTTAATACTCCACCGTCATTCTACCTGATATTTTGTATTAATGTTATAAATTTGTATAATCAATTAAGTGTATGTTGTCATTGCACAGGGACGTCCGAATGGATCAACGACCTTTAATTAATTTTTTCTCGTCAACTTTCTTTATCTCATAATCGAGGAAAATAAATTTTACAATGGAAATAGCAGAAATGAGGAATATCATGTATTGACTCACGTCCGATTTTCGATAATTCGATTTTCTTCACTCTACATGTATTTGGCTTAAAATAATATTTAGGTATATAACCGTGTGCGTATGACTATATACATATAGGCATATATGTATATACAATATCCGTTTATAATTGTATATATACATACGCATATGTTATATATTTTTTGAACAAGTGGTAGATGAATCATCCAGTTATTCATATTTTCATCTTTCGTACATTTTTTTCACAAACTTGAAAATTCATTTCATAAATTTAATCGAATGATGTGATTAACACACTATAAATTAAACTTGACGTTATTGTTGTAACGAAATGCTAATAGAACATTTTTGCTGAGAATTTCTTCAGTAAAGAATGTCTTTTGATATTCTCTCATGAATTCATATTTCATCAACTAATTTAATCTATTTAATAAACAGATAAAAGTTGTTTTTCAGAGAGAGTGAGACAAAATGGAGTGGGATTCTCTTTTCATTCGTTTCGGGTGTATTCTGTTAAGCCAGGGAAGCACTATAAATGGATTCAGTTGAATCCTCGATAAGACAGAATGAGGCAGATAAAGGAAATTCAGTAATTGCGCAAAATTAGAGGTCATGAAGTTCCAGCCGTTGGAAATATATTGAGTGTACCATCAATAATCTATTTAACTAAAGGCCCCGGATTCGTGAACCTTTCTCGAATTTCTGCAGTTATAAAATCAATTGTTTTATCAAATATCTCCCGGAATTTTGCAAAAAAATCCACCACTTCATTCTAAATTAAAACAAATCCAATGGTTTTAGAACACTGAGTAAAAAAGCGTCGATCAATTATTTACACTTCGTCATCAATTTCTTTTTTCTTGATTCAATTTTGATTTGTCGCTTTACATGCTGCACTCACGAATTGCTAACGAATCAAATGACTTTCAATTAATGGAGATTCATCTGAGCTATAATCGACGCTCTATGAACTCAATGTCTTGGACGTTTAATACAGCCTGCGATCCAGAGACTGTCACAAAAAAATCTCGAAATAGTTCTCTTTGTTTTTCCTTGCTTAGAGTACTGTACTCTATTTACATCTAAGTGCAATATGAAACACGTGATGGTACTGAATCTCTATCGTCCATTTTGTCTCATTCATTTTGTCACAGCTCATCATTTAACTGCTCGGATGTCTAATCAATGAATTTCATTTCTAAAATTCCCAACTCCGCATCATCTCATTTATATATTGTGGTTCAATTCAGTAATCAATTGAATGAAGCATTGATTAATGATAATTAACAACGATAACACCCGCGCTAAGTCTTAGATTTTCTTTCAATAAATGTAATCATGTATATGTATAGTAATAATAATATATATTTACTTTATCTCTCCCTACGTTATTTTATAATCCGTGTGCGTAATAAGTGTTTCATCATTTTTTTTTTTTTCATTATTCATTAAATTATTTGCTTGCGCGGGTGTAGACACTCGTGAAAATTTAGTAATTGTTCTGTCTTTATATACTTCACAAATCAAGTGTGAATACTAAATTACAGTTACATTTTTTCTGTACTCTACTTATGGTTAAATAAAATGGGAGAGAAACAAGGATAGGGTATAAAGTAGAGGAAAACGGGCACAAGTGGTAAATAAATATTCTCCTCATAGTTGATACCACTTTTTGTCCTTATACTTGAGCATTAATCCATGGGCAGAGGTTGCAAAATTTTCAGATTCATTCATCATGCGTTCGGTTCTCTCTTCCAATTGTGATAATTTATCACCCCTCTCCATTACCATTCTGTGGGCAGCTGCAACATCACCAGTTGCAGTCGAAACACGCTCTCTGAGAGCTTCTGTATTTGCAGTCGGACCTGGTATGTGTTTAGCTACTGTTCTAGATGCTCTGCCACT